CCGGCGGGCGGCGAGTGGCGACATGTAGGATAATATTTTATATTAATAAACAATGTAAATTTTAAATTTGGCTAGATCGGCCGAATTCTAAATTCAACCAAAATGAACTATGGTGTGTACTTCAAAATCATTCATACTTTATATTATATTTATAATTTTTTAGGCCAAACACTTAATTTTTTAAAATCTCCTTAAAAGAATTACAAATCACTACAAATTCTCCCAACCAAACAACCCTTTAATCAAAAGTCTCTATTGTGATTGAGAAGGGGTAGTAAACCTAGGTGACTTGCTCCCATGGAATACTTAAAAATATGTATAGTCCTTTATGATGGCAAATTTTATGGGTAGCGCTTTTATCGATATCTGGATAATGACTAATATATTATAGCTAGTTGGCAATTTTTTAAAGCTTGTAACGATATTTCTGAAGCTAATTTGTATATTTTTTCAATGGATTTTCCTTTTATTCAATTTGTGATTGGATCTGCGTTTCAGGGGCGTATCTTACCTACTGAAACACGAGACAGCACTTTGGAAATCCTTGTGGGTGACAGTGGGTGGGTTACTCATCAAGAAAACGGAATCCTTTATTCCTTTGATGCCACGAAGTGCATGTTTTCCTCGGGCAACCTTTCTGAGAAGCTTCGCATGGCCTGCCAGGATTGTAGTAATGAGGTTATTGTGGATTTATTTGCTGGGATTGGATATTTTGTGCTACCATTTCTTGTCAAGTATGCCTTGGTTCATTCTTTTCAATCTAATATATTTTCCAATCTAATATCTGGCAGATAGTGACCATTTTTTTGTGTTCATGCAATGATCATTTTTTGAGCAGGGCGAGAGCTAAACTTGTATATGCATGTGAGTGGAATCTGCATGCTATTAAGGCTCTTCGGCACAACATTCATGCAAATTCTGTGGCAGATAGGTGCATTATACTTGAGGGAGATAATCGTGTGACAGCACCTGAAGTATGGCCTATCATTTATCTATCTATCTATCTATTTATATATCCACGCTCACACACGCACATATATGCTGATGTGACAGCACCTGAAGTATGGCCTATCATCTATCTATCTATCTATCTATCTATCTATTTACATATCCACGCTCACACACGCACATATATGCTGATGTTTGGAATGTGTGACCTGATGTGTATTTTCTTACTGTTCCTGCTAATTCTAGTTAAAAGCATGTCTATTAAAGATAAACTACTTGTTCCATCAAACACCTTGAGGCTTGTGTAAGGTTTATCATTATTATCCATATTAGTATATTACCCTGTTGCGCCCATCATGCTTTTTGCATTTATTTCCTTGCTGTTGATACATTTGCTATTGGCTTGCTATTGTTTTTTTATTTTTTAAATTTAATACATAATAATTCATTTTGCATCGCTAAAATCTCTCGTTAATTTTTTGGGGTTTAATTAATGATTGCGTTATTATTGTATTTTAATTCTTGTACATCTAAATGTACATAATTTGCAGAAAATGTTGTCTACATGAAATGCACAGGCAATTTTCCACTTCCATTGATTTTGTATGGTTTGATTTATTTCATCATATTTCTCATGATATTATTGATCTTTATTGTATTTCCATTGATTAAATGATGGAGAACGCGTTCAAATTTGCAAAATCATTTCACTTGGCTTTTTTATTTTATCTTATCTGTAGCTTTTGGGAATCCCTGTACAGTCTGCAATATCACATATATGAATGCTCATGCAAATCCTGTAATTTTTAGGGTGTTGCTGACCGAGTATGCCTTGGCCTTCTTCCTTCAAGTGAGTGTAGCTGGAGGACTGCTGTGAAGGCGCTAAGGTAATTTCTACCTTCGTTAAATAAATAAATAAAATAAAATAAAATCAGTATTGAAAACTAGTAAATAAATAATAACTCCAAATTATTGCACTGTTTTGTAGAGCTCAAGGTGGTTTACTGCACATCCATGGCAATGTCAAGGACTCTGAGGAGAAATCTTGGATGGATTACGTTGTTGAATCAATAGGTCGCATTGCAGTATCTGAAGGTATCATTCTGATCCTATTATTTGATTTTTTTTTTTCTTTGTTATTGTTGTTAAAGCTGATTATAAATAAGTTGGAATAAATAATAATGTTTAAAAAAATAAATTTGATTTCACTTTGCTTAATTGATCCAACAACAACAACAACAACAACAAAGCCTTAATTCCACTACTGTGAGGTTGGCTACATGAATCCTTTTTCTCCATTGCGTCCTATTTTGTGTCGTATTTTCATTTAGTTCTAGTAAATTAAGATCATTTTTTATACAATAAGCCCAAGTCATCCTAGGTCTACCTCTGCCTTTTTTAACACAAGTCGAATCTAAAACATCTACTCTTCTAATCAGATCATCAAATGATCGACGTTTAATGTGACCAAACCATCTAAGACGACTTTCTCTAGTTTTGTCCGTCACAGGAGCTACACCAACCCTATCACAGATATATTCATTTCACATTTTGTCTCTAAGTGTAAAGCCACTCATCCACCTAAACATCTAAGACGACTTTCTCTAACTTTGCTTAATTGATCCAATTAGATTTTATTTTATTGCACGGATGTTTAGATGTCTAACTCTAAACTTTGATTTTTATATTTTAACACTTTGCTTATGCATGAAAATATGTATTTTATTTTTAAAAAAGTTAGTAATAATGATTTTTTTTAAATGTGATATTAATGATTTGAGTGTTATAAATCTAAAATGAAATTTAGGGTGTTAGATATGTAGCAGTACTCAAGAGTCTGTACTGTTATTGTTGATTTCTACATAATTTCATCGTCAGGATTGCTTTGGGATGTTTCAGTTCAACATGTGGAGCGAGTGAAATCTTATGGGCCTCATATTCGTCATATTGTAGCTGATATAAGATGTAAAAATTTGTGATTTTTACTCTTTTGTAAGAAAGGCTTTTAATTTAGGTAATTGGGGCAACTCATTTTTGCAATTATTTATTTTTCGCTTTATTAAATAATTATTTATATTTTATTTTCATCTTTTGCATATATTAAAATTTTAATTTTTCTTTTGAGGGCTGATGTGGTGCCTTATTAGTTAGTGTAGTGCCAGGGGTAGAGTACATGTGCATGGAGAGTGCTAAAAATTTAATTTTTTTGTTGGAGTTCAGTAGGAGTATGGGATGGGTATGAAACCTGTATTGATATATAGCTCAATTATAAAAATTATGTTTTAGAAAATGAAATGTAATAAAATATGGAATATTTGATTGCTATTTAAAGTATAAATTTGTTTTAGGGGCATTTACATGTATATCAGCCATTCCTTGTAAACATATGTATCCAAAACATAAAATTTTCTTTTTTATTTATTATCACCTTAAATTTTCACAAATGAAAAGTATTAGTATTTTTATTGTTAATATGAAATATAGTTTTTTCACGCATAAGTAATATGTACATGCATACATACATATCACATACATAAGGTATGAGGAGCGATTTTTAGACATTAGTGTATGTGTGAAGACGTGCCTTGCATTTTTTGGAGGTTAAAATAGGAATGGCTCTATCTAGTTTATGACCTCACTAAAAAAATTATTAAAAATTAACCTGAACTCTCAATCCCCACAACATCATGTGAATGAACACTTACACGAGGACTTTTACCGTAATTTGCGTTAGGATATTAATGGTAGAATGTCAAGTGTCAAGTGAGCTTCATAGCAGATGTCAAGTGTCAAGTGAGTCTCATAGTAATACACTGTCATTGATCAGTGCTAAAAACAAAATTAGCCTGAACTCTCAATCCCCACAACATCATGTGAATGAACACTTACACGAGGACTTTTACCGTAATTTGCGTTAGGATATTAATGGTAGAATGTCAAGTGTCAAGTGAGCTTCATAGCAATATACTATCATTGACCAATACTAAAAACAGTAGACCTCACATCATTGGATTCTGAATGCATTCATAAGTTTTGATATAATATTTATACACTTTCAGAATAATAATAGACCTAACATCATTGGACTCTGAATGCATCCAAAGTTTTGATATAATATTTATACACTTTCAGAATAATAAGGTGCAGAGGACAGCGCACAACATTGATCACCTGAAACAAAACAAGATTTACAAATACCCCAACTCCATGATCGCTTCACTTCTTTGAAGAGGATTCTCAATTCTCAAATCAAGACCATAACATTATCTTCTAAATATCAACACAGAAACCACATTGCCATCATAAATCCAACACCAACACTCTTCACATTTCATACATTCATATTTTCTGCAAAACCCTAGAAGAAAAACTCATTACATCTGTACTCAGTTATTCATAAAACTAAAATCTTTACATCTCAGTAATCATACACTCCTCTCCCGCTTTACCCTAACGATCCATTTTCTTCAACCTCCCGCACACATTTTCGATGAATCTCATATCCACACCGAAGGCATTGGTAAGCCCAGCCGAATCCCTGCTCCTCACACTCGCAGCAAATGTATGGCCCCCCTCCTGAGTTCTCTGAAACAAGATTAAGGGCGTGCCGATGACCCTCATGGCTTAAAGACCTCGGGTAGCTCTTCGCCTCTTCGTCCATCTTCTCTCGAAGCAGCTTCAGCCGTTCTTCCGTGAAGGGATACGCCATCTCCATGTACAAGTTTATCAGATTCCTCCCTTCTTTCGTTAATGTCTTCCCGTCGGGGCCAATTATAACCAGAGCCGGAATTCCCTGAATGTTGAAATATCGAGAAAGCAGTTTCGTCGATTCCATGTTGTATGGCAATGCGATCCATGGCATCTCGCTGAAGCATTGAGAATAGCTCGATTCATCTTTGTCGACTGAAACAAAGACGATTTCGAATCGATCATGTTTTTCTTTAAGGTTTTTATAAATTGATGCCAATCTCGAAGTAAACTTGGCGCATGGTGGGTAAGATTGAGCCGAGAACAACAATCCAATGGTTTTCCCTACGAAATTTGAGATCGGTACCTGCAACTCCTTTTTCATTAGGGCGAGCGAGTTGCTGCTGAATGCTATTAAAGCAAAGCACAACTTCAAGGGTTTCGTTCATGCTTACCTCTTTACCATGATCGATCACGAAATCTCTACCGGTGGTTGCGAGGAGCTTCTCCAAGGTTTGAGAGTCATGATCGGCTTTCTCTTCCGCCACCAACTCGCTGATACGTGTCGGAGTAAAAGGGAAAGCTCGTGATCCGTAGTGATGGATGAGCTCGACTCCTTCGGTTTGCAGAAGCTGGCCGGTGGGACTGAGAATAACCAAGGAAGGTATGCCCTCGATGCCATATCTCTGGTTCAAAAATTTCTTGGATTGTAGATCAGCAAATGGAATGGCGACCCATGGCATGGTGCCATGGAATTGCTCGAAGGAGCTCTGATCCTCGTCGCATGACACGAATACAACTTCGAATCCAGCTCCCTGTTCCTTCAGCTTCAGGTAAACTTCGGCCAACAAAAGATTGAATTTTTCGCATTTTGCGTACCAGTTTGCGCCGAAGTATAAGCCGATGGTTTTTCCTTCCAACTCTTCAACGGAGACCTATTGATTCATATGACAAAGACAGAATTACATACTTAACACATAAAAGTTACATATTTATAAAAATTACACCCATTTCATTCTTTTAAGGGGGATTCACACACACACACCACATAATTCTTATATATTTACAAGTTAGGTAACAATTTACTGTTACAGCCACATTAAAACATACAAATAACAAGGCGTGTTTCACATTAGAATAATGAACACTAGTGTTTTTGACGTTTTGTTGATGATTTAAGTGTTATAGAAGCAAATATTAAAATTTTGGTGCTGGATGCACAAAAATTATCTTTTCGTATGTACATCAAGACTTGGGTTTTGTGCTGAATTTCAAATATTTGGGTGAAAGTTTCAAAAATAGATTAAAATTTGATTGTAATGTATGCAATTGCCCCTAAAAACATCAATAGATAGATCAAAGCTGTTCTTCTCTAAAATAAGAAACAAAATCCTAAATCATGAATCAAAGAATAAGCCATCTTAAAAGATAAAAATCGGAAATCAGATGGATCATTTGAACAATCAAAAGAACCAAGCATTCAAACAGCAACATGATTCAGAATTGGATTAAATGCATTAAAAAAGGGGGGAAATGCGTGGCAGAGAACTTCGAGGGGAAAATATAAAGCCGAAATCAAAGCGATTGTTGTGCTACGGGGGAGGAAGAAGGGCTAGGCTAGGGTTTCGGGAAGAACTGAACCTTGTCTCCAGAGGGAGAGATGAGGAAGTCCCTATTCCCTGAAGACAAGATAGAGGAGAGGTTTCCCCCACTAGCATCCGATGAACTAGCTGCACTGTTCATGTTCTGCTCCTCTCTCTTTTTCTTTTAGTGCGTTTGCGTTAGTTTTCCTTCGTTTGCTTTTAAGGGCGGAGTGCTAAGTAAAGTCACCGCCGGTAAGTGATCTTTCTTCGTCTTTCTTGGATTTTCTTAAACAATTTAGAAATGTAATAAAAAGCTTATTTGTTTGGAAAAGGTGTATTTCATATTTTTAGAAGTTAGGAAGTAGTGGGATATAAATATTTTATGTATTATAAATATTGAAAAGTAAAGTTTAGGTGTTTGATATGCAAATATGTGGGATTTGGGTGGTATGCATGTAAATGCCGGAACTCATTTGAGGAAATCTATTGTGTTAACGGAAAATATTCTGGAAAAAAAAATATTATATTGCATTATTGCTGAGAAGTGAAAAAATATCTTAGAATATTTTAATTAATATTTTTTTATTAAAATTGATACGTTATTAATGATAAGTTTTCATCATTTGACATGAATTTTGAGACATGACACAAATTCTTAAATAACTTTTTGTGCAATAATTATTTAAGCTTCAGGTAAAAATCTTTCAGAAGTTTTGATTTTAGCAAACTTAATTTCAAATTGATCGGTTTGATTAGAAGGGCATAATGACGCTAATATAATCATGTCATTTAACAATTTTAAAAGATTATGGTGACCAATTGAAAAGTTAAACGAATTTCAAATCTAACAAGCTTATAGTCAAATTGAGTGTCTCAACGAGACGAGTCTAAGAGGCTAATATCACTCAATCACGACATTATTAAGACACTCAAATGTCCAGAATATGACGTCTAATCAAGAAAAATCTCTCTCGGTCATCCAATGGAATTGTTTGGACCTTTCTTTATTAATTGTGAAGTCTCTCCCAAACGTTATAAATAGATGCTTACCTCTTTCATGAAAATGGAGCTGGACTTTGCGCTTGGAGGATGATCATGAGTTGAATTTCAGTGTCATTTATGCATCCAAGATTCGAAAAACACTTTAAGCTCCTATAGCCACTGACTAACATCGACCAGAAAGATCCTTCTTGGATGGATCTCATCATTTTCTTCGTTTGAGATGGAACATTGCCTGATGCTGCTACCATGTCAGTTTGCCTCATTGCCTGATGCTGTTACCATGTCAGTTTGCCTCTGATGCATCATCATCATTGGGGACAAAATATATAAGAATTTATTTGTTGGTTCGTACCTTAACTGTCTTTCACCATGCAAAGCTGACTATGCTCTACACAAGGTTTGTTCTAAGATATATGGGGAGCATCTCAGAGATAGTGCTCTCACCTTAAAGATAGTGAGGCAAAAGTTTTACCGATCTGTGATCAAGCAAGATGCACTAAACATCACGCAAAAAAGAAAAAGTTGTGGTTGCACTCCAACTTCACGCATGTGTCGCTAGTAGAACTCACATCCCTTCTGAGCAATTAACTTTTTGCCTAATTGGGGCTAGACATCATGAGATCGTTTTTGATAGCCACCAGGCAATAAAAGTAATTTATCTTGGTTTCAGCTACTTTAGTAAACAGTGGACCACATAGGCCTTAGTTGTTCATGTAGACCGTATTGGTGAGTTATGATAAATATTCATAGATCGCAGGGGCCAAGGTCAGAAGTTGCACGAGCTGTAGACCATGCAGGTCATAGTTGGTCATGTAGGTCTTAGTGATGAGATGCGATGATGTTTGTAGGCCACAAAGACTAGAGTTAGGAGGTACACAAGTTGTGGACCACGTTGATCTTAGTTGGTCATGCAGGTCATAGTGGTAAGTTGTGATGAATTTTGTAGGTCACAGAGACTAAAGTCAGGAGCTTCATAAGATGTGGACTACGTAGGCCATTGTTGTTCACGAATGCTATAGTGGTGAGCTGTGATGACGTCCGTAGTCGGAGTCGGGAGTTGAATGAGCCGTGAACCACGTAGGCTGTAGTTGGTTAAGTGGGCCGTAGTAGTAGGCTGCAAGGAGAGAGCTTTAGGAGTCTAGATTAATTCACTGTCTTCAGGGTGCGCTGTTACACCGTTTTTGAAAGGCATTGTTGCACCGTTTTTGGGTTGCGTTATTCTGCAGGATGTCTCGTTACTCTACAATGTATATTGGGATTCCAAAGTGCACGTTGTGATTCTAGTATGGGTTTTATTCCATTGAGTCAGGGGCAGCTGATAGTGGATAACAGTGGCGGACAGGTGTTGGTCGACAGTGGTCAGTGTCTTTAAAAGTGGGAGGTATTTGTCGGTTTTGTGTTCCATAAGCCATACTGGACATAAGCTCCTCCTCCAATCTTAAGTTATTTTCTGGCTCAAGCTCTCCGCCTCTCCAGTGGAAAATAGGATTCTATTTTTAGAGTCTTAGGGAGGCCTCTCTGCAAATTAATAATGAATCCAGACCACTCCATTGACCGGCCTAGAGTGATTCCCTCAATTAGACGCAATTTTGTGAACATATGAATGTCTTAATGATGCCGGAATAGAGCGATCATGAGCTTGTTGGATTCGTCTCGTCGAGACGCTGAATTCGACCTATAATATTATCCGATTTTGAATTCGTTTGACCTTCTAATTATGCACTAGAAGCTTTCAAAAGCTATTTAACTGTCTGATTTTGGCTTGATTTCACTTAGATTTGACCAATTTTGATATCCTTGTGTTCATCTTATTGAATCGGCCAGTTTGATTGTAAGTTTATTGAAATTATAGGTTCAGATGATTTTTAATTAAAGTTTGAATATTCCTTCCTTAAAAATTACCATGAAATTAGCATTCAAGTTATAATATATAAAAATTTATAATTAGACATCAATAATTAAATTGGCATTATTTTGTTTATGATTAATCAAATATACCATTAGTTTATTAAAAAATTATATGCTTGACATGGAATTAAATTTTAAGCTAAGCATTATCTAAAATTTTATGTCATACGGTTGGAAATTACCTTCAACTAACTTGCAATAAAAAAATAAATAAATAAATTAAAACTCATTTTGGTTATCCTTTCTCTCTAATTTATCTAGAGATGATTAACATGGAAAGCAATTTTGCAATTTTATTCACCTTTTTTAAAACTCATAGGCAATAATATTTTTTAAATGAAAAAAATCCTTAAAAGGGACAAATCAAAGGGCTTGTCACACTTAAATAACTTACTATAAAATTAGGAGTATATAGATCTACTTTTCTTCTAAATTGGGGAAGATATGATTACAATGTTATGTTAAAATCATAACCCGACAAATATAATTGTAAACAGGTTGTCGGAACTACATTACTTATACCTGCTGTAGTCGTAGTTTGCTATGAAAATAAAATTTAGAGGCAATAACAATTGTATTTGCTATCGAAGTTGTAGTTGGAGGGTATAAAACTATAGTTGGTAACAAAAGCCTTATTTGGGGTTTTAACTACCGTAGTTGGCTACATAAATCCTAATTTGTGGCTATAACAATCGTAGTTGAGTGCAGAAGCCACAGTTTGTGACTATAACAACAATTGTTGGCTGTAAAAGCCATAATTGGTGGTCATAATAGTTATAATTGCCTAATCGTAGTTGGAGGCTATAGAAGCAGTAGTTGGCTATAGAAGCAACAATTGGTACCTATAACAACTGTAGTTGGCTATGAAAACCATAGTTTGCGTGTGTAAAAACCGTAGTTGTCTACATAAGTCGTAGTTGTCTGCATAAGTCGTAGTTGGACTACAACAAATGTAATGCATGACTATAATAATATTAATTGGTTGCATCAATTGCTACTGATGGTGGATAATAGTTGATAGTCGATGATGATCTCTGGTGGATCGCGATATTCTTTGGTCATTGACGATGACATATGATGGTTGAAGAAGACCTTGCACGGTTAGTGATGAACTTTGGTCTTGGACTGCGGCCTTGAGTGACCGACTACAACTGTGGAGATTTCAAAAGCCAAGTTTTAGTAATCAACTAACTTTTTTCTTTTCCTCCCCTCTTCAAGTGAAAAATGAGATTTCTATGTATTGTTATTGAGAGCGGTGTTTCGATAAATATTGCTAGAATCTCAAAACTCCACTTTGATGGTCCATATTAATTCTCTTAATCACAAGTAGTTTTCATTTCAATATTTAAGTTTCTTAACAATCTCATAATTGAATAATCTTAGACTCGTAATATTTCTCTGATCGTGACGCTCAATTTGACCATAACATGCCAAATTTGAGTTCGTTTGGTCTTTCGATTGACGTGCCAAAATCTTCAGCTACACTTCAAGTGTTTAATTTGAGCTCAGTTTGGACTTAAATTAGATCACCTTCGGCATTATTAGGTCTGTTTTATCGAATGCTTAGTTTGACTGTAAACTTATTGAAAATGCGACCCCGATTATTTTGAATTTGATTTTGGAATGTTCCTTACTCAAAATGCTTCCTGAGTTGTGCTTGATTACAAATTATTATTGATGACACAGCAACTATTGCTTTCAGATTTGAGCATGAAACTGAAAAAGTCAAAGGACTTGTTGGATGCCAACCTTCCGAGACAAACAGAAATGCTTTACTTTGAGAAAATTGGCACAAATTTGCACAAAATGTTAACAAGTTTCTAATTCAGACTTTGTAAAAGAAACGAAGCAAAAAAGGCAAACAAGCACTGACCAACATCAATAGCTTTGACTGGAACTGCATTGTGCGCATCTTCTCTTGGCTCTATACTAAATTTATTTTTTTATTTAAATGGCTTAGTCGACAGATTTATTTATCTGATTGGTCTAAATTTAGCAGGTTAAAATTCACTCAAATTTAAATAAAATTTAATTTAATGTGTATGGTTTAATTTTGATTAAATTTGAAGGATAGATGGTACAACGAAAAAAAAAAGACGTCTTTTGGGTTTGCAGAGGCGCTTATTCTGTGTGAACACCGCACATAAATTTACGTGCAGTGTCCAATTAAAACGTGACATGTAGAGATGTGAGCTCCACCGTTTAAAAAATTAGTCTTGTACTCAAAATAAGAAATATCGGAGTAGTATTGGGAAAAAAAAAAAGACGTTTTTTGGGTT